CCATTTCCCAACTCAGAGAGTTTTCCCTAGCTGTCCTCCATACCTGGAATACTCTCATCTCCATTTCCAAGCTTAATGGAATTACTCCAAGTCTCAGTAAGTTCTATCTTTTATTAGAAACCTTTTCCCAATCTCAAAACTAATGCCTTCACTCTGAAATTACCCCCAATTTATCTTGTCTATATCTTGTTTATACATACTTGTTTGCATGTTGTTTTTCCCATTAGATTGTGAGCTGTTTGACAGAAGGGATTATCTTTGTATTCCCACTTAGCACAATGCCTTGTACATAGTAGGCGCTTTATAAATGCAAGTTAATTGACTAACCATGCACATATTGTTTTCCTCCCCACCCCCACCTCTGATTTCTCTCTCTTTCTTTGAGCACAGTAATAAACTCAATTCTACTATTGCTTCTGGAAAGGATATGTTTAATTCACCAGAGCTGATACTCATCAACCCAAAATTTCCTTCCCTCACCTCCAATCTCTTATGTGTGGTGTTTCTTCTTATTAAAATATAAGTTTCTTGAGGGCAAGGACTATTTTGTTTTTGCATTTATATTACTAGCATTTACTATAATTTTTTACATATAGCAAACAATTAGCAAATGCTTATTAGATTAGATTGTGGAAATAGAGTTAGAAAATAAAGATGGAAGCTGAGATCATATTTTCAAGGTTCAGGAATGTCAGGAAAACAAAGTTAGACTTTATTTAGCAAGTAATTGGTGGAGCCATTGAATGTTGTTGAGTTGTGATTTAGGAATCAATCTTGAATGAGAGATGATAACAGAAAAGCTAAATAGACGATGATATGCTACATGAATATAATGGAATATTATTATACTATAAAAAATCAGGAATATAAAGAATATAGAAAAGCACGGGAAGACATGAATCAATGCAAAGTGAAGTAAGAAGAACTAGGAAAAAATATGACTATAATATAAATTGTAAAAAGTAACAACAAATAAATAAAACCTAAACCCTGTAAAATTATAATTACCAAACTTGACCCTAAAGTAAATATGAGAATGCACCTTTATCCTCCCTTTCAGTGACAGAGGACTATGGATATAAAACAATGCATATGATATCAGACTTGGTTGACATACTGATTAATTTTGCTAAAGTATTTTTTTCTCCATTTTTTTTCTTTTCGTTCTTTGTTAGAAGGAATGGCTCCTTTGGGAGAACAAGGATGCATTGAGAAATGAAAGTAATATTAAAATAAAAGATACCCATAACTTTTTAGAAGCTTTAATGATAGAATTTTAATCATTGGCAAAGGTCTATTAGAAATATTGTGAGGGCAAGGAAGGAAAGAGGTCTCCACAGAATCCGTTCATGTCAAAACACATAGATGGCCGCCTAATCTTCCAGGATTCACTGCAACCCTCTCTGTATTTTAACTTACTCAACTGTGAAATAAAGGTTGTTGGGACCAACGGTTGCCTCCACAGTCACTTCTGGCACTAAATCTATGAGCTTATGATCTTTTTCATCTTTCCACTAATGCAGTTTGTCTGGAATGAATAATTAATGAAAAAACAAATATGAAGCCTTCATTAAATACTGGGAATACAAATAGAAAAGCAAGACAGTCCCTGATAGCAAGTAGCTCATATTCTATTGCTGTGGCACAACACATACAAAAGGTGTTGGCTTTAGGGTGAATGGAGAAAGGACTAGTGCCACTCAAAAGCAGATGGTGGTACATTTTCTTCAGTGATATTTCCATTAATAAAACCATATCTGTTTCTGGTGTTGAGCCATTTGTTAGTGCCGAAGGACTTTGATAGTGAGAACATTATTTAGTACCAAGTAAACAGTGCCATATTTCAAATTATACTACAAAATAACAAGTGTCAAAAGAATATGGCTCTAGTTAAACAAACAAACAAAAAAAAAAGAAGTCAACCAGTAGAACAGCTTAAGTTCACAAGACTCAGAAGCAATTGAAAACAGTCCCATAATGTTTGATAAATCCAGGGACAGAAACTACTGGAGTTAGAAACTGGTGGGACAATTGGAAAGAAAGCTAAATCAGCCTTTATTGAATATGGGTGTGTCCTTAGAGGGAGGTGATTAAAAGAAGCTATAGAATAAAAGCCTATAGTCACTTTCTAATCTCTGAAGTCCTTTCCCCCAATCTTGGGGTTTAAAATAAACCAAAGAAAATTTTATCAATAAATATTATTATAATTCAACAAAAGCTGAATAAAGTTTAAATAAAACTATTCTAACCTCCCATGGACAAAAGAATGTGTCAGTGAGTCAGCAGTTTTAGCTGGGAGAAAGTTCGAGGAGAATTTTCTCTCCTATTGTTCCATCTCAGGGCCAAATTCAAGGAAACTTCCACTGAAGAGAGCAGTTGGGAGACACTAGCTCTACTCTTACTATAGTAGAGGCCAGATAGAGGGAGTAACTAGTTTTCCTCTTCAACCACTCAGCTACCTGGGTCTCCCACCCAGCCCTGCCCTTATAATCACTATTTCACATGATATATTTTTGGTAGATACGAAGGGTTTTTGTCAGACAATATATCCCACATATTTGTCTTCCAAGAACCTTTTGAGGTCTAGCTATTGGATATGTGGAATGAATAACACTTATCCAGTAAATACATAGCCCCTATTAACGAGAGTAAACTCATTATGTTCTCTGTCCACGAACCTCATTTATACTCTACATTTTAGTTTCATTTGGATTATCTTCATGGAAATAGTAAACAAAACAAGATACTGGTCCAGAAACTATGAACTATTTATATTTTCTTCTAGTACATTTTTCTTTCCTGTTTATCTCCAAGGATTTTCTTTCCTGTTTTCACCAAAGATTTTTTTTTAAAAGTATTAGGTTAAAATAACCTTATACAGTCTCAAAGATAAAGATGATGGTTAAACTGCATGATGAAATTTGGAGCATCTTTTGGTGAAAGTCAGGAAAAACTTGTCCAGGAAAAAGGGATGTCAGCAGTGTCAGGTGCTAAGGAGAAGTCACAAATGGTGAGGACTACATTGGTTTTTCTATTTAGGAAAACTGACCATCATATCCAACCACTAAGATAAAAAGAAAAAGTCTTTGTAACATATATGTACAAATATGTGAAGTCATGCAAAACAAATTCTTACATTGGCCGTGTCCCTGATATACATGTCTGGGGCAGCAAGGTGGCAGAGTGGATATAGGGCCTGGCCTAGAATGAGGAAGACCTTGGTTCAGATATGACTTTGAACACATCCTAGCTTTGTGACCCTGGGTAAGTCACTTAATCTCCATTTGTCTCAGTTTCTCATCTGCAAAAGGGGGATAATATCATCTACCTCCCAGGGTTGTTATGAGGATCAAATGAGATAATAATTGTAACTTCTGTTTTTTGGGGGTATAGACCCAGTATATTGTTGAGTCAAAAAGAATCCATAGTTTAGTAACTTTTGTAACGATAGTTCCAGAAAAATTTGTTTTTTTCCAGAGTGGCTGGACCAATTCACAGTTGTATCAACAGGGACAAATAGAGTCTATTTTCCTGTAGCTTCTCCAACATTTTTCATTTTTCCCTTTTTGCCAACTTTTCCAAACTGATGGGTGTGAGGTGAAGCCTCATGGTTGCTTTAATTTGCATTTCTTTAGTTATTAGTGATGTGGAAGATTTTTTCATATTGGCTATTGAAAACTTAGATTTCTTCCTCAGAAAACTGGCTTTAACTATTTATGAATTGGGGTATGGCTCTTACTCTATATGATTCAATTAGTTGTTTAAATACTTTGAGAATGAGATCTTTATCAGGAAGATTTCCCACAATGGTTTTCCTCCTTTCCTTCTAACTTTGGCAGCATTGTTTTTGTTTGTGCAAAACCTTCATTTTATGCAACTAAATTTTACACTTTATCTTCCATAATTTTCTTTGTGCTGTGTTTGTCATGAACTATTACCCTATCCAAACACATGAAAAGTAATTTCTTCCTTGTTAATCTGTTTTTTAAAAATTATGTCCTTATGAAGTTTATTTGTTCATCCATATCTAGTTTCTGCCATACCACTTTCTAGTTTTCCCAGCAGGTCAAAGAGTAAGTTACCCCAATGCCTTACCCCAGTACTCAGTACACTGTTGAAACTCCTTCCTCCTGTACAGTCTTTGGTTTATTCAAACACCAGGCTACTGCATTTGTTTTCATCTGGATATTGTGAACTGACATGTTCCACTAATCAACCTCTCAATTTCTTAACCAAGTACAACTTGCTTTGATGATGACTGCTTTGTACCACAGTTTGAGATTTGGTATACTTAGTCCCTCTTCTTTGCTACTTTGTTTTCATTATTTCTCTTGAGATTCTTGACATTTTCTTCCTCCAAATTGATTTCATTATTATTTTTTCTAGTCTGTAGATAATCCTCTGGTAATTTGATTGATATGGCACTGAGTAAATATGTTGATTGATGTAGTATTATCACTTTTATTATATTGTCTCAACTTTCTCACGAGTAATTAATATTTCATTTAAGTCTAACTTTATGTCCATAAATAGTGTTTTATAGCTGTATTCATATAGTTCCTATATGTGTGCCTTTTTAGGTCAATTCTCAAGTATTTTACATAGTGTGTTAAATGGAATTTCTCTTCCTATCTATTCTTGCTGAGTTTTATTGATAATATACAAAAATGCTCATGACTTACGTGGATTTATTTTATGTCTTGCTAAATATTGATATTAATTCCCCATTAATTCTCCAGTAATTTCCCTATTCATTTCTTTCAGTCAGTTCTATTTTTATTGTTGTTTTGTTTGAGATCATGATTGTTAATCCTGCCTTTTAGAGTTCAGCTGTTACATAATAGATTTTGAACCAGTTCCTTATATTAACTCTGTGTGAATCTTTCAATTTAAATGTGTTTCTTGTAAACAGTCTATCACTGGATTCTATTCTATGATAGAACACTGGTTCTATCAAGAAAATACAGAAGAAGCCGGCCACTTAAAAAAATACCACAAACTTTCATTTTAATTAATCAATATTTATTGAGCATCTACTATGTAAAACATACTGCTGGATGTCTTCTGCAACAAAGCGGTACCTGCCCACTTTCAATGTTTATTAAATGGGGGAAGTGGATCTAGTTTTGTTCCAAATACAAACTCCTTCACTTTCAGAAACAAGTAAAGGTGCTATCCATTGTGTTACAGAGATAACAGTAGTGACCTATGACCCACCACTAGTAAGAACTGTTTTTCTCATATTAGTGATTGATAGTAACAAATTGTTCACATGTGCTGGCTCATTCTCTCTTGTGGCCAAGGCGTGAGTTTTTGACACTGATATTCAGGAACAAGATCTCAATATTTAAATGAAAAGTTCTTTAACTATATTATTTCAGTCTCCTGGACACAATGGATTTCCTAATATTAAGACAATAACAATACTAAGAATATACAAGACATTTAACAAACCGTGGTTCTAAGTTCCTACTCCCACTCCCTCCCCAACCCCCCTGCCCATCCCTCAACAACTTCTCAGGTACAAAAAAAGCTACTAAATACTGAAAAATCTGGCTCTTTTAGAAAACATCTTCTCAGTGCTTACAAAGTATCTTGTAATCTTGCTCAGTAGTTTCCACAGTTAAACCAGCTGTTGGCCTTCAAAACAGCCACAACTCTCTTGTTTTGGGGTTCGAATTTAAACTGCCTTGTTCTACTGAAGAAATACAAGAACTCTAGAAATTGAAAGAAATATTTATTAGATAAATTTCGGTTTTCCATCTGAACGACTTATCAACAGGGAGTAGAGAATGACCATATAGTCTCAGTGTTTTCATTAGCTATGTAAACTTAGAAAAGCAATTTAACTTCTCTGGACATCAGCCTCCTCATCTGTAAAATGAAAGGGCTAGGCTAGGAGGGAGACCTGTAAGGTTCATTTCAGTTTTAACACTATGATACTATGAAAACCCAAAATTTGTTACTGAAGTATCTTTTGTTTAGCAAAGGAAGAACCATTTTTCTATTAGCAACAACAAAATAGGGAATTAATGTTTCCTAGTTTGGGAGGATTGTTATAAAAATGGCTCCCCACTTACCATTGTCATTGATAACAGCATCAACTTTGCTCCCAATTCCAGGAAAGTCATTTGTTATCAGTTTTGGATAACCTGCATCCATAGATCTTCTCCGTTCATTATATCTGATCAGGAAAAATGTTACATGTATAAATATAAGAAGATAAAACTAACCAAACAACCAATGAAATGGCCTAATAAAACCATTATGATGTTCATCACCAGCTAAATGTACATATACACACATATACATATACACTATAGAAACATGTTACTGAATATGTTATATGCCTAATGAAAGTAGTTGACCTACATTTGGTTTCATCAGAGCCCTTCCAGCTCTAATCCTGGTACGATTTCATGAACTTAAGTCCCTGGGTATGTTCCACAGTATGGCCTGCTTAAATGAAATGCCATGAGAAACAAGACATCTCTTTCTGCAATGCCTCTAGGAAGCTAATTGCATTCAGCTTCATCTCTCAAGAGACAGGATATAATAAATGGAAAGGAACACTGGAGATAAGAGTCCTGGGTTCCTTTCCCAGCTCTGTTGCTAACTCCTTCTATGAACTTGGAAAAAAAAAAGTTATTTCAGGTTGGACTGAAGATTGGACTGTATTATCTCTATATTATATTATTATATTATATATTATAATTTAATATATTATATATAATAATATATTATCTCTATATTATCCCTAAAATGCCTATCAGCTTAAAAAATTCTATGATTCTTTTGCAGGTCTTCTTCTATCAATCAATAAGCATTTATAAAGTTCCTACTGTGAGATGAGCACTGTGCTGGGTGCTGGAAATACAAAGGCATAAAATGAGAGTCCCTACTCCAAAGAGTCTTACAGTTTTGCAGTCTCCCTCATCTCCTGGGACTTAACCAGGACCAACATTTGGTTTCTGATAACTGATCAGACTCCGGATAGCACTTGATGGACTATAGAAATGTTGGAGTGATCACTTTTCCTAATAATCCATTCACTTACTGAGAGATGTCATACATGGATCTTGTCATGTCACTCCTTTGTTCCAAAATCCTTAGTGGCTCTTTCCTGCCTTTGCTCATAATTTAGGGCATTCTATTCTCTGAGGCCTTCCTTCTTGACAGCTTTATTTTGTACATAAATTAAGCCCTTCCACACACTCTCTGCTCCAGAATATACTCTGCTCTACGAACAAATGCCCCTTCTTTTTATGCCTGGAATGTTTACGCTTCTGTGGAATTCCTATCTACTTTAAAATGCCCAACTCAGATGTTGCCTTCTACAGGAAACCTTCCCTGATTCATTCTATCAAGGAATGAACTTTCCCCTCAGACCTCACAAGGCACTTTGTTTTATACCTCTCTTCTATTGTTAACCTATAATATTATGTAATAAATCATCTCTATTAGTGAATTACAGTGTCAGCTTTAAGCTCTGTGATGGCAGAAGCCATATCTTATCTAAACTTTTTATTTCCCACAGTCCATAGAACAGTGCTCTGCAGACAGAAAACACCTGATGTTTGCTGAATGAATAAATGAATGAATTTCTAATCTTACATTGATAATGGTTAAATAGACATCTCTCTATTAAATCCAAGACTGAGCCAACTCTTTAAGATTTCCAAATGTGGATTCTTACCTCCAGTACTTGTTCTCTACAAAGAAATATGTTTTTCCAGTGTATCCATCAGAAAAAGCAGCATCAATTTTCTTTACGGTTGCAGGAAAACCAAAAGTGCTGTAGATGCTCTTGGGGTAACCTGGCAACACATACTGTCCTTGGGTGACCCAATACTTGTTACCTATAAACCAACAATCTTTTATGAGAAGATTTTCCCTAGGATCCAGTTGATAATAAATACAGGCACACCCCAAAAGACCACTTCCCCTACCAACATTTCACAATAACATTGCTAATAACCAAAGCCTACCAATTTGGTCAGTTACTCATTTATAGCATCATTCCTGTGGAACTAATTGCCCTTATGTAACATTGTTTTGCCTAAGATCATGATTTTATTAGTTTATCTAACTAATTTATAATAGTAGATGTGGTTTGTCTATCATTTCTCACTTTTCACCTCTAAAAGGTAGACGGAAACGGAGCTATTCTAAGGTCAGCTTCACAAAGGGTATGCACATTACAGAATCACAGAATCTCCGAGGTATAATGTACTTAAAAGAGCATCTAGTTCAAAGCACATCTGGAAAAGATAGAGTCAATGTATATGAGTTATAGTAGCTGACCTTATATTATAAAATCAGAATATCTCTCACGTTATGAAATATACTCTTATTACTAAAGTAGCAATTAAAATGGCAATTAAAAACAACATAAAATCCAGTATGTACACATACACACACACACACACACACACACACACACACACATATACACCCCATAGGCCAATAGACTAGTTTCACGGTCTCTTTCATGCCTAAGCTGAACTATTCAATGCTCTTCCTTAACATTCCAACTATAAGATAGAATCAAACATCTTATCTTTTTTTACATATGCCGACATCTGACTAGCTACTAGTAGCCAGATATTTGCCATCCCCACAGCCTGTGGCCGGGTATATGACTGTGGTTGAGTCAGAGAAAAACAAATCATTGGTCCTATCCAATTTGCAGCTGTTCATTCTACACCTATGTGCTAATTAGTGGGGTACCAGCAGCATGAGAACCATCATTAAGGGATTAGATAGTCTACATCTTTTTGTTCCATGCCTTGTTGATCTGACTCCAGTCTCTAGATTTTCTGCTTGAGTTCTCACTCCATGTCCGGGATGTTTTTCAATAAAGGGAATAGCATGCAAATTTGTGTTACACAATTCCAATGACAAAAACAGAAAAGCTACACATGTCACCATTCAATAAGGATGAGTCACAAACACCTTGTGCCATTTTGTTTGTGATTGGTAAACTCAGAATGGTTCTAGTGGTCTGGATTAAATCTTTGGGTGAAATCCCATGGATGAAAAAGAACAAAGCCACCCTCCCTCCTTGGTCCAATATTACCACGTGGAAGGATTGAGTGGAAAATCTGAAGCATTACCCTTGAAGAATTTGACCAAGTCTCTTTCTGCATCTTCATAAGCAGCTTCAATCCCACTTGGGAGGCTTGGCCAGAACAGAGAAATGAAATTGACTTCTGCCTCTGAATCATAGGGGTTCTTACGAAGATAGAACCTGATTTGAGAGAAAGGTGAGAAAATTTGATCTAATTGTAAGCAATCACAGATGCCCAATTATCTCAGTCCTGGATATGATTTCACATTCTCTGTTATAATGAAAACATCCTGATTGATTAACAAACTTTTCATGAAGAAACAAATGAATGGGTGTTCTTTAATCTCTTACCTTCCCTTTTCTTAAACTTCTTTCTATGGTAATAGATTATTTGAAGCTGTAACACAAGCAATGGATCAAGGGGTGAAATTGTATCTCCACCATAATACCTGTGGAGCTTGGTTAGATCAGTCTACCACATACTGCCACCATTGAGTAGCTTTAGGGAGTTGTCTTTTTGCCTTCCTCCAGATGTCCTTTCCTCTATCTGTTCCTTTTACTTTAAGCAAAACATCCCCATTTCCTCATCTGTAAAATGAGCTGGAGGAGGAAATGGCAAACCACTCCAGTATCTTTGCCAAGAAAACCCCAAATGGGGTCATGAAGAATCAGACACAACTGAAAAATGCCTCAACAACAAAAGCTGATACATTGGATATGTTCAAGCTGTAAAACCGTAGGTGCTAAAATGAGAAGCACTACTTAAATATGATGAGGTAAAAAAGGAATGTTTTATTCCCCAAACTACAAATGTCCTTTCTTTTCTACACAAAGCAAGCACTTGTTTTTGAAAAGAATTAATCATTGTCTGAGGACATGGGCAATGGCAAAATGGAAAGGGCATTAGACTGACAGTCAAAATATCTGGGTTCTAGTCCTGGCTCCACTACAAACTTTCTATGTGACCTTAGATATTCAAAATAAGTCTCTGGATCTAAGTTTTCCCATCTATAAAATGAGAGGGTTGAGTTAGGTGGACTCAAGTGCCTTCTAGTCCTACCATTCATGCTGTGACTCTCTGGCAGCTGTTTTTGCCTGTAGATACATTTCAACAACACAAGTATTTAGATGATTTCTAACCTACGGAGAGGCTTTCCCCCATAGTAACAGTTTAGGTTGGTTTTAAATAACCCCCACTCTGGCAGATTCATATCCAGATTTCTCTTTAATAATCAGATATAATATAAAAGCAATTTTAAAATATTTTGAACCAGTAACTCTGGATTTAAAGTCAGAGGATCTGTTTTCCTACCCTGGCTCTGCCTTTTCTACTTATGTGACTATAGGTAAGTCCTAAGTCAACCTTCTGGAGACTGATTTGTAATCTTCATTTGTAATAGATTAGATTAGATGATCTCATGGTCCTTCTGGCTCTAAATTCCAAGTTCTATGATTAAAGCAGTGGTACAATGGATAGTATAGAACTTGGAATCAGAAAGACTTGAGTTCAAATTCCACCTCAGACAATCACTAACTGGGTTACTCCAGGCAAGTAACAATTTGTCTCAAGCCTTGCTTTTCCTATCTGCAAAACAAAAAAAAAGAGTATAATAATAATATTTATCTGATAGGGTTGTTGTGAGGATCAAAGGAGATAATATATGTAAAGCACTTTGCAAAACTTAGAGTGTCGTGTAAATGTTATTGTTATTATTTATTGTTATTATTATTATCATATCATCATGACTCAATTCAACAAATATTTATTAAGTGCTTACTCTGTGCAGAGCTTTATGTTAGGAGCTGGAGATATAAAGATGAAAAACAATGTAGGATCTCCCCCCCAAAGACATTCAGCATGTATACTGCTAAGCATAATACAAATGGTCTGATAGGGATATTAGAAAGATGCTAACAAAGTGCCCTAAGAAAATTTGAGGAGAGAGAGATGACTTTTAGCTGAGAAACATGACCAGAAAACAATACTGCCACAAGATACACTATCAGTTTCTAATTCCAGATTTCTCATTCTTCCCTACCCTTATTAACTTTGTGAATTTGGACAAATCACAATCTCTCTGGGATTCAGTTTCTTTACTTATAAAATAAGGATTTAAACTAAATTTCTCCACATGTTAAGTCAGACCTGGGGTCAGACCTAGGTTGTTCAGTCACTAGAGACTTCTTATGTGACTTTTGGGCAAGTCATTTCAATACTCTCTCCTTTACTTTCTTCAGCTATGAAAATTAGAATAACACTACCTCTCCAAGTGCCTCTGAGGGTTATTTAAGGCTCAAAGACCATAAGGATGTGAAATTCATTTGAAAAGAGGCCATGTAAAACAAATACAAGGTATCTTCACTATTTTTACTAATAATCTTAATATATTAGCAATAACAATAAAGGAATCAAGGATACAAAGGAAATGTTACTGATGGTTAACCTGTCTTTGAAGAATATTTTTTCCCCCCGGATTGTGGTGGCAGCATCAAAGGTTAATTTTCTATCACAGGCGTGTGGTGTTGTTGGTCCTGTTGGCTGGATGGGATTATTGCCGGGCCCTAAAAGACAACAGGGATATTAATGCTACCTTGGAACACTGCATGCATGGACACACATAGAATGAAGGCATGATTTTTGAAATATGAGGCCACTGATTAATTTATAGGAAACCTTTTAGCCAACCTAAGTTGTTTGTGTGTGTGTATGTACGTATGTGTGCATGTACGTATGTGTGCATGTGTGTGAGAGATGCATATCTTTCTACTTACCATAGATGGCTTGAATACCATTAATATCATCCTGAGAAAGCTGGATATCATTGGTGTCACTGAAACCATAGCTGGGGAACATCAAGGCACCAATATCAGAGGAATGGGAAAGACCCAGAGAATGACCAAATTCATGAGCAGCAACACGGTACAAGTTATAATCTAAAGCAAAACAAAAAAAAAAACAAACCACAGTTGTGAGACACTGTAATTATGTTCCACTTCAAAGGCATCCTCTTAGGATGCAAAAGTCCACCTAGCTACACAAGGATAAGAAGAAATATATAGCACTTTTAGGTTTAATAATAACTGCTGTTTGTTTTAAAATTTACAAAACACTTCACATAGCAGTCTCACAAGAACTCTGTAACGTAGATACTCAAGCTCCATTTTATATGTGGGGAAACTGAGGCTTAGGTAAAGTGACTTGCTCTTGGTTTTACTCATGTGTAGCACTCTCTCTATATATATGCTATGTCAAGCTGCTTCTGAGACATGGTCAGAAACTTTTCAAAAGTTATGTAGTTCTTCTGAAGGAGTCTGTACTGCAATTATTATCATTGCTGAAAGGGATAAGGTATCCCTGAAGAAATGATGTTATCTTTATAGTAGCAGTCCTATCAGAGAGTGGTACATTAATGTGACTTGCAGTGCTGTAATCCCTACCATGGATCAGTCGGTACTATCACTGCCCAAGATGGAGAGCATTACTTCCCTGATAAATAAGAGGTTTTTCAAGAAAGTGTGATTCTTATTTTATTCTTGAAAATGCTTCCTTGAGGACCATTGCCAAAGAGAGGATTCTTAGAGAAAGAGACAAAAACGACTGAGATTTTAAGCGTGGGTCATTTAGGGGATAGTGGTGCCACTGAGATAGGGAACAGGATGGTTGTGTGCTAGAAGAGTGAAGAGATAAGATAAAGAGTCGGAGAACCAGGCGTAAGACCCAGCCCCGCCACTTTCCATTGGTGATTCTCTTCTCTGAATTTGCCTCCTCTTCTTTAGAAGAAGGTGGGTGAAGTTTAAATTACAGGGCTTACAGATGGAAGGGACCTTAGCCCTCCAGATGATACTATGTGAAGATCAAATGAAATAATTTCTATAAAGTACTTTGTGAACAATAGTTTATTACATAAATGTCAACTATTTGTTTTATTTTCTTACCACACCTATGGTCTATGTTGTGAGTACTAAATGAGATATTCGTAAAGCTACAGTTCTTGGCAAATAGTAGGCACTTAATAAATATTTATTCCCTTCCTTTCTTTCTTTATCATTTATTATTACTGCTACTATTCATAGAAACAATATAGTATAATGTATATGTTATATATATAATATATTTATATATATTATATACAATTATACATATAATATAGTATGTAGTATAATGTATAATATATTAAATCACTCTTAAATTTATAAAATCTCATTGACATAAAATGTCTATTTTAGCATATTTTTTCAGTCCAATCAACTAACATTACAGTGAGATGTGGGGAAAGGAAAGGAGGCATATTTGTCTGACTTACTTCTATGGTCTTTTGTCCATTCTTCACCTTCATCAAAATGAGCATCCCCTCCAATACCTGGGCCTGGTTGGAAGGCATGAGCAAGAATTCCATTGGGACCATCAAAGGGAGAATTGTCATAATGATCTGAAAGAAAAAAAGATTTAATTCAAGTCCTCCTCATTTCTCAGGTTAGGGAAAAAACAAACTAAACTAAAAGACCAGCTGGTTACCTCCATAGTAAAAAGAGATCTTTATATCTGCTTCACCCTGAGAGATCTTAGTGAATGTCAAGGGGGACACATCGCTCCAGACTTTAAATGCTTTCCTGATGGCATTGTCCACATCTTCCTTTGCTAAATCTGGTGTGTAGTTTTCAATGCTTAAAATGAAAAAGAAATGAACACAGACACCTTAGTAACTCCAGCTACACTGAAGCTATTTTATACATATGGTTTCTTTATAAACCCATTCTCATCCTGATGATCGAGGATCACTACCTGTAAGTAAGGTTTTTCTTTTCCCACTTAGGATTTCCTTCAGTGATGGCAAACTTAGACACATCAGGGACCCCACATCTAGGATTTTTCATCATCTTTAGAGTTTCAAGATCTGGCTTCCCAGTAACTTTCAACCCAAAAAATTTCTGCATTTTCTTGAGCTTCTCAACGACAGGGCTACTGTCTTTCTTCTTGGAAATTTTCACTCCCTCAGTTTTTAGGTCATAGAATTTCTCAAGATAGTTCTGAAGAAAGATAAAAAAATTTAAATATTAAATATGAGATATTTCCTAGATTTTCCTTAAAGAAATCTCAGAGCTTTGGTTTGGTCAGATGATATTTATACCCGGGGTGATGGGAGATACAGGCTGGAATAAGACTTTCAATTGTCTGTGAATTTAGAGTTTCTGATTCTTATTAGAAGTTCTCAGTTCCTTGGTCCCCTCTGACCTTGAATAGTTTAGTGGGTATTACACAAATAGCATTTCAGCAAGAAAAATCCTCCTAATTCTTATCACTGTGCTAAAGTCAGAATTCCATCTCCTCAAACTAGATCTCAGATTTTTTTCCATTCCTCCTCAAAATAATTAGCAAAGCAAAGACATAAAACTGTTGCAATGAAAAGCCAAGATTTACCTGGACGATTTCTAGGTCTTGCTGTTCGGTTTCCAAATGTGCAGGGAAGCAATGGGAGCCTGTGAGGCAGAGGATGAGTAGAGGGAGAAGGCTCTTCATTCTTGCCCTCTTCTATGTCTCAGGCTGATGCAGCAGCTCTTTACCTGCCTCCTGACCTACTCTCACTCTTCAAGAAAAGTGCTCTTTATATAGTATTCAGGGAGCCAAAAAGCTAGTATGTCTCTGACTCATATTTTATAACTTCCTCTGGATCAGCATTTTATCAGAAACAGTGACACAAACCCAGAGCAGGTTAAATGGTCAACTTCCATGGTGCAATCTTATGATTAATGCAAAACAGGATGTTTGTTAAAGAGGCAATCACATACAAAGTTACTTTCTTCTGTTCCTGTCTGTGCTATTTTGATAAAATTACTGTGTTTGTGAATCTTGTAGTTTATGTAAAACTTTCTGTATGTTTACGATGAACTTTGTTACTTTGGGAAACAGCCTCAAGCTATGACTTCGCTCCTTGTAGGCATTTCCATACACATTCTCCCTAGGTGAGAGGAAACAATGACTGCCAAATTATGGAATACACACTTCCCATAGTTAGACAAGGGAACCAAAGCACAATTCTCCAGACACTGTAATGAGTGTACAGTTCTCCAAGGTTTACAGAATCACAGAATTTAAGAGTTGGATGGAACCTCAGAATCCATCTAATCCAACCATACACAAAAAGAATACCCACTCTAATGCCCTCCTCCTCCTTATTATCATAGCTAACATTTTTATAGTGCTTAAAGGTCTGCAAAATGCTTAATATGGTTTATTTCATTTGATCCTCACAACAACCCTGTGAGAGAGATGCTATTATTATTCCCATTTTTTACAGACGAAGAAACTGAGACTGTCAGGAGTTATGTGACTAGCTAGAATCTGGGCAGGATTTGTACTCAGGATTTCTTGACTCTCAAGTTCAACACTCTATCTGTATCCCACATACCCAAAAAGGAAGTGGAACCAATTACCATTTGAAATAACCCTTTCTGCTTTTGGATAGCTCTAATTGTTGGAAGTGTTTCCTGACATCAAGCCTAGACTTGCCTCTTTGCAGCTTCCACCCCATAGCTTCTGGTTCGACCTATTGGGGCCAAAACCAACAAGTTTAAGCCTTCCTTAACAAGACAGCTCTTCAGACCTCTTCTAAATAGCTATTCTGTTCATTCTCACTTTACTCTAGGCTGAACATGCCCAGGTCTTTAACCATCCTGGTTGCCATCTTCTGGACCCTCAGCATCTTTTCAATGTCCTTAAACTCTCATGCCTAGAACTGAACAGAAAAGTCCAGGTGAACTCTGATAAGGGCACAGCATAATTAATATCATCTCCCTGTTCCTGGAAGCTAGGCACCTCTAAATGCAGTTCAAGATTGCATTACTTTTTTGACTGCCATGACACACTGCTAACTCATATTGAGCTTATAGTCAATGAGAATCCCAGATTTTCTTCAGAACAATTGTTGTCTAACTTTGCCTCCACTATCTCATATTTGTGAAGTTGAAATTTTTTATCTAGGTGCAAAAATTTATATGTATGCCTATTGGATTTTACCTTATTAGTTTTAGCAGCTCCATGATCTGGTTTGTCAAGATGGTTTTAGCTACTGATTGCATTAACCATCTCTCTCGGTTTGGTATCATCTGCAAAATTTGTGAGCATGTTCTCTATTCTTTAATAAAAATTACTGATGATAAATTTTTTAAAAATTACTGATAAAAAAGTTAAACATCACAAGGTCAACGATAGATTTTTGGGGTATTTTATTGGAAATCTCCTGCCACATTGACATTGAACCATTAGTAACTACATCAGAATCCAGTCATTCGATCATTTCCGAATGAAGCTGATTTTACTGTCCTCATCTCCCATCTCCATAAGAACAATTTGAGACACTTTAGCAAAAGCTTTACTAAAATCTAGTGAACTGTATTTACAGCATTCCCCTTCATCATCTACTTTACTAATCTTGCCAAAGAGAAATGAGAGTGAGTCTGGCAGGAGTTTTTCTTGAAAAAGTCATACTGGTTTTATGGAATCACTGCTTCTCTTTCTGGAGCAGCAATATGGCACAGTAGATAGAACACCTTGCCTATAATCAGGAAGACCTGAATTCAAGTCTGGCCTCAAACACTTGCTAGCTGTGTGACTCTGGGCAAGTCATTTAACTCAGTTTGCTTCAGTTTCTTTGTCTATGAAATGAGCCAGAGAAGGAAATGGCAAATCACTCAAACATCTTTGCCAAGAAAACCTCAAACGGGATCATGAAGAGCTGGACATGATTGAACAACAAGCTTCTCTTTCTAGATGTTTACCAACCATTTATTTAATTATCCATTTTAGAATTGTCCCATGAATTGAAGTCAAGCTTACTGATCTATAGTTTGCAGTTTTGGTTCCCTTCCCTTTTTTTGAAAATTAGGGCAACATTTTCCTTTTTCCAGTCTTGGAATTTTCCATTGCATTTTCCATGATCTTTCAAATATGACATGCAGAGACTCAACCATCAACTAGTTCTTGCAGAACCAGAGGAGTCACCTGGGTCAAGATACTTGGATTTATCAAGAGTGGCTAAGTGCTCCCTTTCTGTATCTTTACTTATCTTGGGTATTTTGTCATTTCCAGTTACATAAAAAAGAAATCCATTCTATATTTGAAAATATATGTTACCTCCCCTTGGGTCTCACTCACCCAACTCATGGTGCCACTGGCTAATTGAATCCCTAGAGAGATGGCCATTGTACTCCCAAGATTCTAAGAGTAACTCTATGGGTGGCTCTCCATCAAACACTAGGTCACAAGCCTCCACCAACGTGCTTTCCCTTAACAATCAACAGTAAGTTAGATTTTAAGCATATGGACTAACTCAAATAGCATAGGGAGAATAGTAATTACAAATAATTTCCCCCAAGACAAATGTCCTTATTTCCTATAATATTCCCAGAATCTAGAAGGAAGAAAGATCACATAGTTGACACATTGGCTAGGCCTATGGGCCAATCAGTTGGAGTCTTATGGTTACTCTGTTTAGCTAGCGTACTACAAAAGCTCTTTTAGCTAAGACAAGGACCCTTTTGATTTCCTTTTATTCAATTTTTTTATGTCATTCCTACTGAAAAATTTGGCTAACAGAAGCCTGTTTCCAGGGTGAGGAATATCTATCTGAAGGCTTTTCCTTTAATCTTTCAATCTCTTTCTTTTAACTTCTATACATATTTACCTTTCGCTGAAGCCTCACCTGGACACCAACCTTATATCTAAATCAAATTCTATACAGAAGGCAGAAGGCTCGTCCAATAATTAAGCCCCGAGGCAACTGTGTCATTTATTCATTCAGGCACTCAACAAACATGGTGGAATAGAAAGAGCCCTAGCTCTGAAGTCAGTGGACAGGGGTTTGAATCTTACCTTTGATGCTTAATATTCACACAAATCAGTCATTTAACTTTCCTTGGCCTCAATTTCCTCACCAGTAAAAATGAGGATCTTGGACTGGATGAACTCTGATATCAACTCCATCTTTAGATCTTTGTTATTAACATGCGCAGAATATTGTCCTAGGACATATTGTGTGTATATGCACACACTTATACATGTATGTATAGCATACATGCATGTATAGCTATACATATACGAACAAATGGATATAGTCATAGGTATATGTGTGTGTACATGTATTGCACATGTATATGAGCATGTATGTGACATGTAAGTGTATATGCATGGTGTTGTATGTTGTGTGTATATATGTATATGTATGTGTACAATAGTTTTGGTTCTCAAAAACCTTATGTTCTACTGGTGGGGGATATTTAAATGCTAAAAAAACCAAATTTATCCCAATAAGAAAATATATTACATCAATGGAGACTTACAGAAAGAGTAGAAAGTGGGTCTGGATCCTCAAGATGAAGAAGATTCTATCACGCTTTTGTAGAGTTTCTAAAAGTAAGCCTAGAGACAGAGAACATGGGGAGTTGTGGCAAGAAAATGAAACCAGGTGGTCAAGGAAATCCATCCAATCAGCTGTGCGCTATTAATACTAAGCACAGGCCATGCTTTCAGAGCCTTTCCTGAAAAGGTCCTTCCCCAATTTGGATACTTGATCTTGTCAGTGTGGGTGTAGATTACAAATCCTCCATGCCTTGTCTTTCTTTGTGACTCTCTTACCTCTAATTCTAATTCAGATGCAGCTATGTGGCACAGTAGATAGAATGCCTAAAACACTTTACTAACTGTGTGACCCTGGGCAAAACATTTAATCTCTGTATGCCTCAGTTTCCTCCACGGTAAAATGGGGTAAATTATAATTTGTGAAGATCAAATGAGGAAATATTATAAAAGCGCTTAGCACAGTGCCTGGCACTTAAATACTTATTCCCTTCTCTGGTAAAAGTGAAGGAGTGGTTCAGTCAACATGCTTGGAGAATTCTAGATTTTTTGACATTTTGTGGTTACCAATGGAGTACATAGACAGAGTTAGCTCTTGTTTTCACTATATGTCTGGTTGGACTCCTTTTCCCCTGAATCTCTTTCATATTATCTTTAAAGAGCATATGTTATTGTTACTAAATATTTAAAATAAAAATAAGGTGTACTTTAGATAGTTATTTCTGCTGTTGCCTGGCAAGAATGAAATATTCTTTATATCCAGCAGATGTCAGTCTTGTTGCCTCTGCCTATGATCTTATGATTTTGGGGAGCTGATTGTAATCAGAATTAGTTGGGAAGTTTTGAAGTTGTAAAAGAAAAGAAGTTACGTTTGGGAGCTGGCTGGCTGTAGCCATGCCTAGGAACTTCTCTAGCATTCACAATTACTGGATGTAGAGGGGAGTATAAGCCCTGGGAAAGTTAAGGATGGAGGTGAGTTGTTCCAGGGGAACTGTACCAGCCAACCAATGCTAGATTTTTGATACTTAACATTTCTATGCTCTATAAATTCATAGTTTTTCTAGCCTATATTTTGTTTTATGTCTCCCTTAACTGACAGGGGAAAAAAGGCTTTTGGAAAATAATCGAAAACAAGAAAATAATTTAAGAAATAAATAATACTAGGAACTGGTTTTATGGTGGGGAAACAAAAAATATATATACCATCGGTCATTTTTATATTAAAA